AATAAAGATGAATCCCAATGTCCTTTAAAATTAGGGATGTTGTCGTCCCAGCTACTTGGGAGGCTGAGGTGGAGGATGGCTTGAGTCCCAGGTTGAAGGGCAGCCTGAGCAACATAGCGAGACCCCATCTCAAAAACGGATAAAGGAATTCAGTGAATGAAGTTGGGTGTGCCCAGGTGACTCAATGCTGGCCATTGGGATTTGAGAATTTCCACGTGGAGGTCATGGAGGTGTTCTTTAAAGGATCAGGTGAACTCTCCTCCTCCCCTTCTTCCCCACTGGTTGGAATTCAGGTGTAAAGGCAGAAATTATGACTGCTGTCTTGAATCGTGACATGATCTCTGGAGTGGCACACTCTCTTCATGGCAGAGCAACGAGATAGAAGGAACCCAGCTGCCTCCCACCATGGATGGCATAGCAGCCCTCATCATCTCTGGCCTGGGTTCTGGAATGAGAGTTACGTGTCAGCTCAAAAAAGATACGACATGGGGCTGGGGGTGTGGCTCAGTTGGTAGAGCGACTGCCTTGCCTGCACTCCTAGCCTATGAGAGGCCCTGGGTTCGTTCCATCCCTGGCCCGGAGGGGGGTGGGGAAGCTGCATTTCCACTCAAAACAATTGTATGTTGAAATATAATTCCCAGTGTGAATTTGTGTATGTGTGTGTGTGTGTGTGTGTGTGTGTGTGTGTTTGCCGTTCTGGGGATTGAACTCGGGTCCTTGCTCATGGTGGGCAGCGCCCTGCCTCTAAACTACGTTTCAGAGGCTGGCCTTGAATTTGGGATCCTCCTGCTTCGGTTTCCAGGTGGCTGGGATGACAGGTGCACACCACCACACCTGATCCCACTTGAGTGCATGTCAAAGTGGGGATCAGGTTATGAGGTCAGAATCCTCACAAATGGGATTAGTACCTCTGCCATGTGAAATACAGTGACAAGGCCATCGATGAACCAGAAAGTGGGTGGTCACCTGGCACCAATCTGCTGGCACCTTAACCTTGGACTTCCCAGCCTCCAGGACTGTGAATAATAAACTGGCTGTTGATAAGCCATCTAGTTTATAAACTAACCCGCCTCCATACCTCAGAATGTGACTTCTTTGACATCATTGCAAATGTAACAAGATGGAAGTCATAGGTTGGGCCCTAATCCAATATGATTGGCATCCTAAAAGGATGATCATGTGACGATGAGAACGTGACCATGAGGGCAGGGACTGGAATTCTGCATTTGTAACTGAGAAACACCAAAGTCTGCCACAAACACCAGATTCTCCTACAGGTTTCAGAAGGAGCACAATCATGGCCCCAAGTTCACACTTCCAGCCTCCAGAACTTAGGTATTTCTGTAGCCTTAAGCCACCCAGTTTGTGGTACTGTCACTTCTGGAAAATAATACAGAGGAAACTACTAAGCATGTGTAAGCCACTACTGCTTTGGATTTTTCCATTTCTTACAGCTGATCTTAAGCCTAACAAGTAGAGGGTATGAGTCACATTTTATAAAAAGTGTCAACCTTTTCTGCTGCCTCTGGAAATACTAGATTATTGGCATCCTTAGCCCAATTTCAGTGGTCCCTTGGGAGCAGGAGAGGCTGTGAAAGGAATGAAGTGATAAAACAGAAGCTACCATTCTTAAGGTGGCTCAGAGAAGCCTCAATCTCAGATGATTTTTTTTTTTTTTTTTGTACTGGGGATTGATTGTACACTGAGCTACATCCTCAGCCGTTTTTGTTTTGTAGACAGGGTCTTACCAGGTTGCTGAGGCTAGCCGGGGCCCCTAGTTACTGAGATCACAAGCACACAGCACTGTGCCTGGCCCAGTTGATTTTGACAAATAATTGCACCTAAATTTAGAGTCCCTATTGTATCTGGTATTTTGCTCAACTCATTAAATCCTCCCCAAAACTTACAAATTGTTAACATTTTTTCTTAAGAGTATAAAACTGAGGCTGGGTTCAGTAGCACAGACTTGTAATTCCAGCAACTCTGGAGGCCAGGACAGGAGGATCCTGAGTTTGAAGCCAGCCTCAGCAACTTACTAAAAACTGAGGCCCAGAAAAGTTAAGTGGCTGCTCAAGACTCTTCAGGTGGCAAAAAACTAAAACCTGAACCCACCTGGGACTCCTAAGCCACTCTATCCCACTCTATCCACCAGGCCAGGCCCCTAAACAAGGAGGGAGAGGCTAGAGATTCAGGAAGCTACCAGAAAGGGACTATGCCAGTTCTACTATGCTGCTCTTTGAACACACACCCGCTTGGTCATGCCACAGGTTGTCAGGGGAAAGGCGAGCAGGGTGCCACTCACTCTGTCAGCATTACTTAACTCAGAGATAATGGTGTCATCACAAGATGAAAAACAGCGAATCTGCTGAGCTTGCCTAGACCCTCTCTGAAAAGGGACGAGGAATGTACGAGGCGAGTAGGAACTTTTACCTTTTGTATTTTAATTTTGAATCACGTGACTTTTACTGTTAAAAAAATTAACACTGAACATATATAAGTTTTATTTTCATCTTAGAAATGACAGAGAATGAAGAATAAATTCAAAGAAAACTTACATAATTCTGTGACCCAAAGATGACCACCAGAATGTGGACACAATACCTTGGGGGGCCATTTGGCTTTAAAATGGGGGTCCGTGCTGGGATACATGGTGGAGTGCTTGCCAAGCACGGTGAGGCCCTGGGTTTGATCCCCAGCACCACAAAAAGGAGAAAAAAATTTTTGAAAACGGATTCTATGATAAATATAAAAGCATGATCTGTTCTTCACTAGCAGTAGCTCTGAGGGCAGCTTCCTGCAGCCCATCTCATGGTGGACTGCTCACGTACTCGTCTCTTCTTAGTAACCAAACCCCCATTCCATGTGATGTACCAATCCGATGTTCTCGGTTGTCTTTGCACCAATGTGTGAACACATAACTGAACAGGACGAGATGTGAGAGCAAGGGTCAGCACACCTTCTAGGAAGCCCTCAAAACAACGTTGGCATTTTCCCTCTCCTTTCCTCCAGCTCCTTCCTGCAACTCACAGTACCGAGGCGCTGTGGAGCTGAGCCATCTTCTTGGAACACGTCCTCAGGGGCTTTAGGGGATGGCAGGAGCCTCCCTTCTTATTGACTGTGATGTCTGCAGCAGAGATGGTTCTAGACAGCCCCTGGCTTCCTTTCTCACGGGAATGTAAACTGGGTGTTCTGGCCTTATTAAGCAGTAAGTGGTGCTGGGTGATTTTGTTAGAAATAAATGTGATAAAAGGCTTCTCTACATCTACTGAGAGGACTGAGTGGTTCTGAGCTATTAATGTAGTCGATGGCATTCCCAGAAATGCTTTGTGCAGTGTATTCTTTCACTATACTACTGGCTCCAAAGCAGTATTTTAGCTAAAACGTCCCACTCTTCTGCCTGTGTATAATCCCAGCAGCTCAGGAGGCTGAGGCAGGAAGATTACAAGTTCAATGCCAGCTTCAGCAATTTAGCAAGACCCTGTCTCAAAGAATAAAAGGGACCTGGGGATGTGGTTCAGAGGTTAAGGGACCCTAGGTTCAACCCCCCATGCCAAAAACAAGCAAGCAAGCAACAACTGATCTGTCCACTACCTGTTCCAGATTTTGGTGTCAAGGTTTTGAATTTCAGGACGTTTACAAATTTGCTAAATAAATTCTCAATTTGTACCTCACTGAAAATATTTTTGTAATTTACAGTGACTTTGGCTTAAAATAAAAAGGATTGCATTATGCTCTTTAATTTCAAGAAATCCTTTTCCCTAGGTCACATGGCTAGTGAGAGCATCAGGGAAGGCCCTGGATTACAGGAAGGGTTAACAGTCGTTCCAAGCTGCTGGGGCTTCTGACCTCCACATTTAGGTCTGTCTCTGGGGCCTGTACTCTGAGGTGTTATTTCAACTTCTAAAATTCTAAGTGGGATGAAGGAAGTGAAGTACATGTTCCTCTCAAGACGGAAAGTCAAAGGAGAAAGTCCATGCTTTCCAAAATGCCACCTTTCTAAGAACAAACATGGTTGGCTGCAGTCATGGCTCAGAGATAGAGCACTCGCCTAGCATGTGTGAGACACTTGGTTCCATCCTCAGCACCACATAATGAATGAACATGGTATAACTGGCAATGTGTTGGACGAATGGGACGAGAAGCCTGAATTTTCAAACTCTGGACCTTGAGTACCTGAGTTAGGAAACCATAGGCTTGGTTCATCTGAGGATGATGCCTATGCTCTCCTACCTGGCCACACCCTGCTCTAGGTGAAAATCATCAGGCTGAAAAGAAACCCATAGCAAGCATTCCAGAATTCTCTTAGTTTAAAACAAAAGCAACAACAACAACAAAAAAAAAATCACCTGGTTGATAGAATTCATACTTCTGGGGCTGGGTAACTAATTCTTCATTGAATATACTTAAGAAACTTGGAACTAACATTGTAGTAGTTAAGTACGATTTGTATTTTAGATATTATCTTTGCTATCTACCTTTAATATTTGCCATTTCAATTAGTGCTATTTTATCTTAAATGGGTAATAATCATTTCCTTTTGGTTATCATTTATTTTTTTATTTCTGGGCAGGGGTACCCAGGATTGAACCCAGGAGCACTGGCCTACTGAGCCACATCCCCAGATTTTTAAGGATTTTATTTAGAGACACAGTTGCTTAGGGCCTTGCTAATTTGCTGAGTCTAGCTTTGAACTTTCAATCCTCCTGCCTCAGCCTCCCGAGCCACTAGGATTACAAGCATGCACCACCCTCCTGTTTTCAATTTACTATCTATACCTCCCATTTATGTTCAAAGAGTGGCAGAGAAGGTGTTTGTGTGTGGGGGGGGGGGAGTGGAACCCAGTGCCTCACACATGCCAGGACAGTTGTTCTATTCCTGAGCCCTAGCCCCAGAGTAGCATTTTAGAATAGCATTTTGGCTGAGTCTTTAAGTTCAGTGAAGGGATACAGGAAGAGGAATGAACTGCATATATAGTCAAAAAGATAAGAAAAAACATGGCATTTACCAAAGAGCTTGAACAACTTTATTGTTGCGGGGCCATGTGGGCTCTATTCTTGGCAGGTGATGACAGGAGAGTAGGGAGCAAACTTGCAGAAGGGCACTGGACGCCGACACAAGCAACCTGGATTGTTCCTACCCACCTACAGGCATTAGGAAGCCATTCAGAATTTTTCAGCCTAAGATCAAGTGCTCTGATTTGCTAGAGAATTCTGGTGGTGGCAAGTATGAATCACAACTGGGAGGCTACTGCAGTATCAAAACAAAACAAGAAAAGCCAAATTAAGGCATGGAAATGTGAATGTAGGGGAAACAGACTACATGGGACAAAACCGAGTGGATGTACGTGAAGCACAAATGCAGGACCCAGGAAGTCTCAGACAGGTGCCTTCGGGTCAAAGAGCACATAAGGGAACAGGGAGAGAAGGAGGGGTTCTGTTCTAAGCAAGAGGGGGGCCTCCGGCGGAACCTCAACTGACAGTCAAATCGGATCTGATGTCAGCAGGGAGAGGGAGCTTGAGATGAGGGTTAGGATCCACCTAGTGGTCTAGCGGGGCTTAGTTGCCAGGCTCAGTGTGTAGACTCAGAAAAGTCCGAAGGACCAGCCCTGGGAAAGCACATTAAAGGGGCAGAGGTAGGTCAAGAAATAAAGGTAAGCAGGATTCCAGACAGATGAGGACAGGAGACAGCACTGGCCATCAGTGCCAGTTCTCCAGCTGACACAGGATGAACTCGTCTCTCTCCAGAGGACCAGATGATCCATCCGCAGTGCCCACAGCAGTGCTGGCTACGACAGCCGCTGGTGGGTGAGGGAACGAGAGGGTGCAGGCCGGGCTCTACGCACTCACTGAATTTGGTGATTAGAGGAACTCACGGCATGAACCAGGGACCCCCGAGGTCAGCCACCTTCGTCCTCTCTTCCTATCCATCCTCTCTCCAAGTCTACCTATGCAGAGTACCATTTCTCCTGGAAAAGAGAAGGATCTTCAGGGATGCACATGAGTTCATCTCTAAACTACAGGATAAAAAGCCTGTCTTCTCATGTGCAGTCTCATTCACCCATGTGGACTAAGTTCTTCACAGGCAGACACTGTCGTCCTGATGGGCACCCTTTAAAAACTTTATGTGATAGCTTTTCTGTAAGACACTGGAACATGAAAATAATTTGGGGGTTAAGATTAGTCTCATATGAATTATGCCAAATGAAGAAATCTCCCCATCATTTCTCTGTCTTATGAGTTTGCACATTTGCTTACAAATGAGCATCCCTTGAGGATCTTTACAGCTGCCATTTCCGCCAATTAATGTTGGCAGATTTCCAACTATATGCAGACATCAAGACCAGATCTCATGATTAAAAGCTCCAAACAGCCTTGCAGGTTCCTAGGTTGACTGCCACCCAGAAGGCCGCCTCTTGGCCCTCCCAGCCCTTCACTGGTACATCTCAGCCAGGCTCAGGCACCTTTTCCCAGAGTCTAGCTGAGCAGGACTTGTTAAATATGCACATCAAAGATCAGAGCAAACAGTAGATGCTCACTAAGGATCACCTGACTATATGCTTGAATTTCTCCTTCAGCTTATAAATGGAACAGATCTCCAGCTCTGCTCAGGTCTTCAGGGTTTTGTCTTCGTGGGGTCACTGGCTCTCCATCCTTCATGTTCTCCTTACTTCAACAGGAAGCCGGTTCCCTTCCAGCCCCTCAGCTCTAAACGCAACTGGCTCTGGGACTCCTACTTCCTCAACTTCCCGCAAGGCAGAATGGCCACTCAAGATTTATTCAATGCCTTTCATTCCTAAGCTCTTTCCATATCTATCTGCATCACAGTCCTCCATCTTGGATTGTGAAGCTGACAGGAAAGGGCTGGCCACTAGCTATGATTTATGACTAACCTGGTGTCACAATCAAAGAGCTCAGAGGAGATGCTTATGGAGAAAGAGGATGAGGATGGAGATGAGGGTCCTGAGTAAGGGCCCAGACAGGCTGCCCAACCCATGGAACCTAAGGCCTGGGGTCTGCTTTCCCTCTGCCTCAGAGGGTCCATCTAAGGGCGATTCTAAGGCACAGTGGTGAAGGACATGATTGGCCCACCAGGTGGTCTTCTGGTCTCACGGCAGCCCCTCGCTGGAAACAGTGCAACAAGCATTCCATTTCAGAGATCTTTCCGAACACATGCAAGCAGCATTCTCGAATGAAATGGAGACAAGGTCTTTCTTGGAAGAGTAGTGTCCCCAGAAGACACTCTTTGCCCCAAGACCAACCAGGTCCCTTTTAAGGTCCCTGAGAACAGCAGTCTGGGAGCAACCAAGACTTTCAAAGGCTGACAAGGCACAGAGTGGATGAATGAAAAGATAACATACATGAAAAAAACTTTGGCTTATAAAACCTCCAACCTGAGGCAGGGACATCGGTGTCCACGACATGCAGAAACAGATGATTGCAGCAGAGATGGTCTTCAGAAATGCCCGGCAGCTTCCACACTGCCACCCCAGCCCCGCTCTTCCCTCCTCCCAGCCCCCGACAGCACACACAGTCTCTGCAGAATAGGGCAGAGGTGGCATTCAGAGCCTGTGTCAGGAGACAGTTTTTGGCACTCTGCACTAAATCACGTGACTGGTTCCAACTAGACAGTGAGAGGAACGTGGCCTAAGCTTGACTTGAAGGGTCTGTCTCACGAAAAATTATGCTGCTCCCAAGACGGCCAGGTCTGGAAAGTCCTTTACTTCTCCTACTTCACTGAAAGGCTGCCCACCCTGGTTGAACGTCAGTTTATACCGCAACCGGATAGGTTCCTGGGAGGTGAGAGATACAAGACATTCAGTTAGACGGGAGCAACCCCGAGGCCAGCCAGAGCAAATGTCTCTAAGGAATGGTGTTTATGTTAATTTCCCCCAAATAAGGGCTTCAAACAACTACATGACAGACACCCTGGCCTGCCTTTTCTGGGGCTCCAACAGGGGAGCCAGACATGTGGGAGCCCTTCCACACTTCCACAGTCCTGAAGTGGGCTGCAGTTCAGAGACTGCTAAGGAAGCAAGCTTCACCCTTCAGGACTCCACGAGATTAGAGGGAGCTCCTTGCTTGGTTCCCAGAATAACAGACCTGCTTTAAATAAGTCCCCAAGAAAACCACCAGCAAGGGATGTCCCACCAACGCCCCAATCCTGCGCCACCCAGAGGCTTCAGAGCAAGCCGCGTGTGCCTCTCTCTCCCCTGCGGTTTCCTCCCTACAGTCCAGGAGCCCCGTTTCCCTGCTCCCCAAGGACACCAGCACTCACTTTGTGAGGATTGTCGAGCAGCAGCATCTGAGAGATCACAGCTGGAGGCACCAAAGGACTGAACGCAGGAAGCTTGGAGCTGGAGGCCGGCTGCAGCTTCACTCTCATTGACTATCAGGGAAACAGCACATAAACATTCCTACCCAGCCCCAGGCTCAGGGAGAAGATCAGGGCAACAGGAACCGGAACTCCACACCACCCATCCAGAAGAACTGGCTTCTTAGGAAATGTGGTATCTCAGTTCCCACTACCTGATGAAAGGCCCCAAAGCCTTTCCTTCCACCCAAAATCTATCTGAAGGGGTGTGGTCAGTGGCAGGCAGCATGAAGAGCTGCGTCACATCTTGGGTACAATTCTCACTCTGCCTCTTACTAGCTCTGTGACATCAGGCAAAAACTGCTAAGTCTTCCGTTGATGGTTTATAAGACAAGGGCTGATAACAGTCCTTAGAGTACCGACTGTAGAGTCATGTAACTATGATACTAACCACAGAGTGAATAACATGCTTCACAAAGGACACCTTGAGGACAAAACACTTCACGCAGTCATGTGCTGCTGCCTTGAATCTTTTCCTTTCGGGAGATGCCCCTTCCCCTGTGATTAGGGTATGGGTATTAATCAGTGGGGCCCTACTTATTATCCCAACTTGGCCAAATAGTTCATCTCCCTGGACACAAGTTACTGGTCAAAGGTATGCAAGTAACCCCAGCAAGGCCCAGCAGAGCCCTTCCTTGGGCAGTCATATGCACACCTCAGGCCACATGAGCTTCTTTTCTTTTTTTAAAGAGATAGTGTCTCATTATATTGCCCAGGCTATACAAACTCCTGGGTTCAAGCGATCTTCCTACCTTAGCCACCTGAGTGTATCCTGGTTCAGTATAGCCCCAAACCAAGAGATTCTTAAGCAATCATTTTAAAACCTACCTGGATTGATTCAGGTGAAGTGAGATATATTCAGGAACCCCCAGTTAAGGGAGCCAATAAAATCCCCATTCTATATAATGCTAAGTGAAGTAAGCCAATCCCCAAAAACCAAAGGCCGAATGTTTTCTTTGATATGAAGATGCTGACTCACAATGTCGATGGGTGGGGAGCATGGGAGGAATGGAGGGCAAAGGGGAGAGAGGGGAAAGGAAGGGGCAAGGGGTTAGGGATGCCGGTGGAAAGAGTTAGACATCATCACCCTAAGTACATGTATGAAGACACCAATGGAGCAAAAATACTTTGTGTACAATCAGTGACTTGAAAAATTGTGCTCTAGATGTGTAATATGAAATGAATTGCATTCTGCCGTCATGTATAACAAATTAGAATAAATAATTTAATTTTGAAAAATAAATAAATAAAATCCCCATTCTATCATCAACTAGTCTGAGAGAGAGTTCTATCTCTTACACCTAACAATGTCCCATAAAGGATCTGGTGCTCAACGATGACAGCCATTCCTGAACAAGTCAAAGAAGCTGGCCAGTAGCGGACGACTTACCTTTGGCACAGCCACTTGAAACATGATGTCCCAGACTGGCTGGGTGGCCGTGCTCATCATGGTCAGCAGTAACACCTGCACCTCTGGGTGGCCAGGGGCCCCCGTCTGGGAGAAGTGGAGCAGAATTCTGAATCCGTTCCGGTCATACACGATAATAGGAGGCAGGCTGCCTGGGAGAGAGGGACCACCAGGAGGGTCAGTACTGCCACCAACTGCCACGAAAGCCAGGCCTCAGAGACCTGTGTCACGAGGGCTGCTGCTCCTCCAGCTCTTGGACTTCACCCTCTGCACCACCGTAAGCCAAGACCTCCTGTGTCCACCGAGTTTCCTATGGTCCTCCAAACTGACCTCTCTCCACAACCAACCATCCTAAGCACATTATCAGCTTTTTAAAAGACAACATCTTTTAAGGGAGATAAAAATAAAGTGTGAACACTGTGGAAAATACAGAATACTATAAGATTTTTTTATTACTATTGATTCTACCCAGAAATAAACAGCCCAAACACTTAGGCTTATTTCTTTCTGGTCTCTTTCATGACTACATACACACAGCCACAGCCACCTGAACATTCAATTTTACAAAACCGTAAAGACAATAAATCTGAAATAGGCTTAATGAAATTCCAAGAGAAATCCCAAAGAGATTGTTTTAATTTAAGTAACAGTGGATTCTAATCCTAATTTTTTGGGAAAAAAAACATGCGACTAACCAACAGGCAAAAAAAAAAAAAAAAAAAGACGGGCAGGGCTATTTATGTTGGTAAATATTCAGAGAAAAAACTGCACATCAAGTAAAGTGGAATAAATCAGAGCATGCAGAACAAACCCAAATACAAGAATTTTACAAGAATAACTATTTCAAAAATCAGTAGCTAATTTGATAAAGGGTATTCAGCTGACCTCTAAGCACCTGGGGAAATTTTTAACGAAGATCCTTATGCCAAATGTCACTTATCAAAATGGACATCATAAAGATGTGGTTTTATATAACTGCCAAAGATTTAAAAGAGTAAAAACATAAGTGAAGTGTGTGCTGAGAGTATGGGGAAAAGGCAACCTTTTGGGAAGGGAAACTGATAATGTAGATCAAAAACTTAAAATTGACACCCAGCATTTCCCCACATTCAGGAATATGCTTGATAACCAGGAGACCACGTAGAAAGGCCACCCACGATGTTCACTGTACCACTATTTTTAACAACAAACAAGGTCAGCTTTCACAAAGGCACTGGGCCCAAACACACTTCTGCAATCTCAGCTACCAGGAAACTCAGGCAGGAGGATCACCAGTTTGAGGCTGGTCTGGGCAACTCAGTGAGGCCCTATTTCAAAATAAAACAAAACTGGGCTGGTGGCAGAGCGCTTGTCTAGCATGTGCTAGCCACTGGGTACAATCCCTAGTATCACTAAAAAAAAGCAACCAATAAATGAATCATGACACATCTATTTAATGATATAATATATGGAGCTATTAAAAATCAAGGTTTTAAAGAACAATTAAGGGCATAAAAAATGCTATAAGCTTATAATGTAATAATAAATAAAACCAGACATCAAAATAGTCTCTACATACTGTGATGTCAATTTATTAAGAAGAACATGTCCACACATATGGGCATGAGGCCCTGGGTTCAGTATCCACCACAGAAAAAAAAGAATATTAATAAAATTTCCATCTCAGCCCAGCTGGTAGTGATTTAGATGATGATGCTTTTCTGCTCTGTCTTTTCTAAAACTCTACAGTGAACATGTTTTCTTGCTTTTAACTTTTTGTTTTACTTTGTTTTGTGCCAAGTGTGATGGCACATGCCTGTAGTTCCACAGACTTAGGAGGCTAAGGCAGGAGATTGTGAGCGCAAGGCCAGGCTCGGGAATTCAGCAAGACCCTGTCTCAAAATAGAAAAGGAGAGAGGACCAGGCACAGTGGTGTGCACCCGTAATCCCAGCAACTTGGGAAGCTGACACAGAAGGATCATGGATTCAAATCCAGCAACTCAGTGAGACCCTGTCTCTAAGTAAAATACAAAACAGGCCTGGGGATGTGGCTCAGTGGTTAAGTGCCCCTGAGTTCAATCCTCAGTACCCCCTCCCTCAAAAAAAAAAAAAAAAAAAAGGAGGGGTTATATACCCAGTGGATATTACTCAGCCACAAAGAAAAATGAATTTATGGCGTTTGCTGGTAAATGGATGGAACTAGAGACTATCATGCTAAGTGAAATAATCCAATCACCAAAAGCTAAAGGCTGAATGTTCTCTCTGATATGCAGATGCTAACACACAAAAATGGCAGGGGGCGGGGTGAGGGGGTAGAAGTTCACTGAATCAGACAAAGGGGAGTGAAGGGAAGAGAGGGGAATAGGAATGGGGAAAGATAGCAGAATGAGTCGGACATGACTTTCCTGTGTCCATACATGATACACAATGAGGGTAACTCCATATCACGTACAACACAAGAATGGAAAGTTATACTCCACGTACGTATAACAAGTCAAAATACATTCTACAGTTACATAGAACTAAAAAGGGAAAAAATAAAACTGCACTTACTGGGCTTCACAGACTCCAAAGGGACAAACACCTGAGCCAGAGGTGTGTTCTGGGAAGCCGGGGAAGGAGCCAAAGGGCCAGCCTCCCAGGACCAACCTGGAGAGGACTTAGTACCTGGTGGCACTTCCTTGGGGATACTTTTCTGTGGGACATAATTCCTACAAAGAAATAAAAAAATATCAAAGACAAACAATAACTATATAGAGAATTCCAGGAATCTGTGATTTGGTTTTCTGAAGAGCAAGATGAGGAAGTGAATACACACACACACACACACACACACACACACACACACACACACACTTATCCACAGAATGTCCATGCAAGGCGGGTGACTAACATCCACACAATGAATTCTAACATAGCCCCTAAAGAGGATGAGGCAAATACATGCAAACTGGCCAAGATGTGCAAAAATAAGACACAATAATGTACTGCCACATGTAAAGGAAAAAGCCAAGACTTTCCATGTTTTCATACAGTGGTTTTAGGGCCTCCTGTCATAAGTCTCTAGTGACTGAGTTTTGTATGACTTAAAATTACATGACAATTGAGAAAAATCAGTAAGAAAACTTCAAAATCATCAATTTGCCTGATCTTAAAAACAAAAACAAAACCACAGCACCCTTCATTGATGTCTTGGCCGGAATGTACTTAGGACGAGGAGCAGCAGGGACAGGGGACGCAGCACATGCAGTCTCAGCAGGAGGACACCCCTCCAGGGAGAGACCCTGCTGCTCAGATGCCATGGGGAGCTGTCAGGAGCCAGACCCTCCACTTCCCTGGGCAGAAGACTCACAGAGGACCAGGAGACGGCTGTGAGAGCAGATCCAGCAAGTTCCTGTCTGCGGAAGGGCTCTGGACTCCGCCACCTGGCGGTGTGTTGGCAGCAAGGTTCTTCTTTTCCTTGCAGCAGTTCTGACTGGCGACCTGCAGATGGACGATGGCTAAAATAAGGCTAGGGGGTGAAGGACCATCAGCCGTGGTGGGACTGTGGCCCCTTAGAGCTGCTGAAGCCTGGGCTTAGGACGTGTCCTTAGGAGGAGAAAGACAGGCAGGAGAGCACAGGACCCCCGAGCAGATCTTCAGGAAGCAGGAGACTATACCACACAAGACGGGATAAAGGTGGAGAGGTAAAGATGTCAGTCCTGGGGACCTGAGCCAGCGAGGTGCATGAGGAGGAGCACTGACCCCCATGTCCTCTAGGACTATGCAGTAATCCCTCCCTACAAGGCCCTGCTGCCTCAGAAGGCAGGCTGACCACCCCCTACTCTCCCTGGGCCGTAACAGGAGCTTCCTTACCTTGTTCATAACTGGAGCATCACTGATCCCTGTAAGAGAAGAAGACAGACACACAACCGTCACTCCACCGGATTCAAGCCGGAGGTCAGTGGCACACCCCTCTCTAGGACTCTGGAAACAACTTACACAGGCTCATTCAACTCACCCATGGCACAACTCCAAAGAGACCTCTCTGAGCTGCCTGGTAAACCTGACTCACTCAAAAGCAGGCCTACGCACCCTGAGGAAACCATCACCCGCTCCCTCTCCTCAGGTCCGTTCTGTGCCTGAGCCCCACGAACACCCACACGAACCTAAGGCTGCCAGGTCCTGATGAAGCAAAGACTGTTCAGACCCACTGTCCACCTCCAAGTCAATCAGGGGGCAGTTCTTCATGCAGCCTGCTGGGTTCTGAAAGACTAGAAACGAGACAGGGTCAGAGAATAACGAAAAGATATCAGACAGCAAAGTCTCCAATCAAGGGTTGGGGGTGTAAGTAAGTGGTAGAGCACTTGCCTAGCACGTGTGAGGCCCTGAGTTTGATTCCCAGCATGCGCACGCGCACACACACACACACACACACACACACACACACACAATCTCAACTCAAGTCAGCATCCCTCAGGCCTCCTCCTAATCAAAAGACCCTGTCCCCTCAATCCACCCCAGAGCCACCTTCCACATCAGCTGGGGTCCTGACACACAATCTGAGCTGAGATCTGTACTATGGAGCAGCCAGAGGCCTGCTGCTCACGCCAGAGATCAGTCTTCCTCCAGAGGTCCCCTCAGTCTGGGCAGCAGCAACTGGGGCTTCTTCAGCTCGGAGGCCTTTGGAGGTTTCTGACGCCGGCTGATCACAGCCACCCGTCATGCTTGATTAACACAGACACGGAGGGGTTCAGCAGCTGAGTGTTCCAGGAGATTCTGACACAGCTAGCCTCCGGCACTAGGAACCACTGAGGAAGACCATTCTTTTGGTCTCTAGCTCCTGTCATTCAGGAGAAGGATTCAGACCCAGGCACCACACAGCCTTCGGCTTCCACAGGGTCCAGCCTGGCCGTCGGTTCACAACAGCTCCTGTGGTCGAAGCTGGCCACGTGAAACGCGTTCTCGCAGGAAAAGAGAACAGACTCAACCCTCTCATTCATGTGCCATACTCCACAATACTCGTAGGGTCCATTTCCTTTATGGGATTTGTAGACTGCCCCAGGTTAGAAGGCGGGAAGAGCTCATGGTACACACCTCTAGAGACAGGCACGTCTCCCACTGAGCTGGGCACTGTGTTCCCAAAGGTGACACGGCCCTCCATCACCTGTTTGTACAGCAGAACTCCCTGGGTGAGGAGGTCATTTGCCTGGAGGATCTCCGCTGCAGAGGAAATGAGAATCAGAACCCTGTGTAGCTACCGACCACCTCAGCCCTCTCTGCACCACTGCACACAGCAGCCCTCAGGGGTCAGCACATAAACACCCTCTGTGCTCAGACCTCCTCGCTGAACCCCTCAGCCCTAATACTTTTTTTTTTCTTCTTTTTTTGGTACTGGGGATTGAATTCAAGATGTTCTACCCTTAAGCTACAACCCAGTCCTTCCTGGCCTCAAACATGGGGCCCTCCTCCTGTCTTACCTGTCGAGTCTCTGCAATCACAGGCATGTGCCAGGGTGCCTGGCAGCCCTAATACTCTCTCTCTCTCTCTTTTAAATATTATATATATTATATACTTATTTATATATATATATTTAATATATATATATATATATATATAGTTGTAGAATTTATTGTCAAATAAATACCTTTATTTGTCTCATACGGTGTTAAGGATCAAAACCAGTGCCTCACACGTGCGAGGCAAGTGCTCCATCCCTGAGCCACACTCTCAGTCCCCCTAATACTCTAAGTTCCCACTGCAGTAGGAAATGAAACTTCTCACCATGTCTACACTGTCTGCCATAAGAGCTGACGGTAAGCACTGGAAATATGGTTCATTGAGAAACTAAAACTTTCAACTTTAATTTTATTAAACAAAAACTAACATGAAACTTTAGTCAATGTGGACACAAATATTAAAAAAAAATTTCTTATTACTTTATTCAGTTATTGGAGAGAATTTTTAGAAATGAGCCAGGAACAGTGGCTGAGACAGGAGGACCACAATTTCAAGGCTAGCCTGGGCAACTTAGCGAGATGTGTCTCAAAGTAAAGTAAAAAAAAGGACTGGATATATAGCTCACTGGTAGAGCATTTGGCTAGCATGAGTGAAGTCCTTGGGTTAAATCACCAACACCACAAAAAAAGGGAAGAAGGAGAAATAAAGTGTTTAGAGAACAAATTGGCATGTGAATTAGGATTTTTTTTAATTTTTATTTTTTAGTTGTTAATGGACCTTTATTTGTATGTGGTGCTGAGAATCAAACCCAGTGCCTCACACATGCGAGGCAAGTGCTCTACCACCGAGCCACAACCCCAGCCTTGTTTTTAAGCCTACATATTTTATAAAATTGCAAATGTAGATCCAACATTCCAATGAAATGAAGCATCCAAACTGAAACTTACAGAATAAAATACACACTGGATTCCAAAACTGCTTAAGCCATGGTTAGTACCTACAAGCACGTCTCTCTAGGAGACACAGAATAGGACCAGGGCGATGTACAATAACTACCACAGGTCAAAGTGCTGGAAGATTACTTCTCAAGAGGGACCAACTGCTTAGTTCCCTCAAATTTTCTGGCTGTGAATGGAGGTTACAAATCAACAGCAAGTGTTTTTATATTTAACATGTGAGATATTTACAAACTCGGATCTGTGTACCTTTGACTTCACTGACATCACTGAGAAAATGGTCAGACAATAATTACATTGCAGGCCTCCTGAATCCACCTATCATGTATTCTGCTCCCTCAGTTGAACCCGAATCTGACCAATCCCTGATGTAACTGGCAATATAAGAAATATCATTATACATCACCATGGGGTAGGAGGATACGCAAAATGGAGACCCGGAAGTCTATAGTCAAGGAAACGATTTTTAACGGTGGTGGGAGGTAGGTGCTGTTCCCACCTCTGTGGGATGGCCACACACTTAATCTCATGATAAATGTCCACCCTTTTCTAGGCTTTGGATCTGCTGATTTCCTGTTCAAGCCCAGGTAACTCTGAAGTCAGTTCTAGGTCAGCTAAGGCCCCCTCCCCCAGCCCACTCTGCCTGCTCCTGCACCGCAGCAGCACAGCAGCAAGGATGCATCTGCTTTGCTCTTAAGGCACCAGCTACTCAGGGACCAGAACCCATTACCCAGCGCGTCGTCGTCATCGGTGGTGTCTCCCGCCAGGCGGAACAGCGTGGGCCGCAGCTTCTCACACCTTTCATACACGACCTGGGGAAAGAGCACGGTTCACACCCACACCTGGGCCCCCACAGGCCCCAGCTGCGCCATTCAAGTGGGGAGCAGAGTCTGGGCTGCAGGAGGGCCCCTCAGTCTGCCCCAGATTCATGACTGATAGCAGCCAGTTTCAGAAAAAGTTTGAACTGTAAATATATGATTTTTTAAAAAATAAAAGTGAGCTCAGAAAAGAACCCATTGTCTCTGGGGGCACAGCACCCCCTCCTCCTCAGGCCCCTTTCCCAGCCCTGGGCTGGAACAGCTCAATGGACGACTCCCTGCTTGACCGCTAGAGTCTGAACTTCCCACCCCAACTGCTGTCTGATGCCTTGATCCCTTCAACAAAACTACCATCATGCCCGCCCACAGGGCTCGCTCCCTGTCTCAGCTGTAAGTCCCGTTCTCATCCTGGGGACAGCCCACCCTCACACTGCTAAGCACATATAGCTCTGCGCAGCTTAGATTTCCATTTTTTTCTCTCCCGCAGTCCTGGGGATGGGGCCCAGGGCCTCACATGTGCTAGGCAAGTGCTCTCCCACTGAGCTACAGCCCCAGCCCTAGATTCCCCTCCTTGAAGGGGGCTGCACCATCTGACACTCCAGGCCTCCCGACAGCTGACTGCCTCTCTCCCGTTTCTGCTGTGTGAAGAACAGCTGTGCTTTTTTTTTTTTTTTTTTGAGAGAGAGAGAGAGAGATGGAGAGAGGGAGAGAGAATTTTAATATTTATTTTTTAGTTCTCGGCGGATACAGCATCTTTGTTTTGTATGTGGTGCTGAGGACCGAACCCGGGCCGCACGCATGCCAGGTGAGCACACTACCACTTGAGCCACATCCCCAGCCCAGCTGTGCTGTTTAAAAGTCCAACACGCTGACCTTCCTGAAGGACTCTGGTGCAACCTCACCGTGGAAGGAGATGGGCTTTGGAGCATCTGCCTAGCTCAAGCCCAGCACCCTTAAAAGTTCTTTCCTACCACCCACCAAGGAAGGCTAGCATGATGTTCTCCCTAAAGCTGCCCAGTCCCAGTCCCTGGCAAGTCAGCCAGGGCAGATACACACACCAAGCTGGCCAAATGGATTTTACTCTCAGGAATTTGGGATGGGGAAAGACTCTAGTTTGTTTCTGCTAGTCTTCTGAAGTGGAAGGACGGGTAACAAAGGAGCTATGTGAAGGCCATCTTTCTTTCCTCTGCAGAGAAACAGAAAGCTGGACCGCCGAGGGAAGGCTGAGGGAGGCCTGCAGGGGGAGGCAGAGAGCCGAGGGTAAGAGAGACCGCGAACAGCAGCTTCAGGCAGCGCAGCAGCGCCCCACTGCCCACCTGAGGCCAGGGGAGATTCCTCCACAGGACAACAAAAGCACCAGCAACAAAAGAAAAAAATAAAGTGAACTTCTCTGAACTTAAAAAATTTTTGTGGTCCCAAAGATGCTATCAAGCCACTGGAGTAGCAACCCAAAATGGAAGCAAACTGTCTGATAGGAACTTGTATCCAGAATATATAAAGAACTCATATCACTTAAATAACCCAATTAAATGATTAAATGATAGGCAAAGGCTGGGCACAGTGGCACAAGCCTGTAATCCCAGCAGTTCAGGAGACTGAAGCAGGAGGATCGCGAGTTCAAAGCCAGCCTCAGCAATAGCAAGGCACTAAGCAGCTCAGTAAGACCCTGTCTCTAAATAAAAATAGGGCTAGGTTGTGGCTCAGGGGTTGACTGCCCCCGAGTTTAATCTCCAGTAGCAAAAAAAAAAAAAAATGTAGGCAAAGGATTTGAAGAGACTTTCTCCAAGGAAGATATTTAAGCGGTCAAAAAGCACATTAAAGAATGCTTGACATGGGCTGAGGATAGAGCTCAGTTGGCAGAGTGCTTGCCTTGCATGCAGAAGGCCCTGGGTTCAATCCCCAGGACCACAAAAAAAAAAAGACGAAGAAGACTGTTTGACATAGCCATCAGCAAAATAAGGTCACAGTGAGCCTCTAATTCACACCTAGGACAGCTGTCATCAACAAGATAACAAGTGTTGGCAGGATGTGGAGAACTGAGACCCTTATAATTGAGTGTGAGATTGTAAAATGGTGCTACGTTGAAAACAGTTTGGCAGTTTCTCAAAATGTCAAACAGAGTTAGCATAAGATCCAGCCATTCCAATCCTCGGTATATCCCAAAAGAATTTAAAATAAATACAGGGTACTGGGTTTCTTTTAGGGCTGATTAAAATGTTTTAGATTAGATAATAGTGATGACTATTTTTATGATATGTTAATTATCTCAAAGGTGTTATCAAAAAGAAAGATGGGGGGGGGCTGGAGATGTGGCTCAAGCGGTATCACCTGGCATGCGAGCGGCCTGGGTTCGATCCTCAGCACCACATACAAACAAAGATGTTATGTCCGCCGAATACTTAAAAAAAAAAAAAATTAAAAAACTTCTCTCTCTCTCTAAAAAAAAAAAAAAAAGAAAGAAAGATTGCTCTCAGAGTATGTAAGATATAAATAAACTAAACTGTGATATATAGCTGTTAGGAATGGAAAATGGGCAAACACTAAGGAAAATAGTTTGGCAGTTTCTTGAAAATTAACCACACACTTAGAATATGACCTAGCAATCCCACACCTAGGCATTTACCCAAGAGAAGACACATGAAGATACATGTTCACACAAAATGTTTATAGCATCCTGTATCACTCAAAGCCCTAAACAACCCAAATAATCAACAGATGGACAGAGCATGCTACATCCATGCAACAGACTAGCCTAGCCATGGAGGGAAGTGGTGCTACCAGGGCAACAGGAGCAGGTCTCAATGGGAGCGCCCAGTGAGAGCCAGGTGAGAACTCAGGACGCACTGTTATCAGTCCACTCACACCCACCGGAGCCAAAAGGGAAGCCTGCTGATGGGGGTCGGGGTGGGGAAGAGAGGAGGGAGGGGATGACAGCCACACTTATTATCTTGATGAGGATGATGGCTTCGTGGACCTACAGACACACTTTCACACACAGGGAGGTTTCCAAGTCGGAGCAGCAGGTCACCTGCAGGGCTTCCTGGTCGGGCGGGGCCTGCCCTGGCCTGCGGTACGTGCTCAGCATCTCCTGCAGCACCTTCACGTGGCTTCGCACTTCCTCCACCGCGCTCACTCTTCTGGACACCTTCTCTGATTTTTCTTGTTCCTTTTGGGATAAAAAGGACAGAGTAAGAGAGCAGAAGCCCTGGATGCAGCCTGAACAGAGAAGGGAAGGGGTACCGTACTGCTGGGGCTCAGGGCTCAACACCTAGCAGGTGGGAAAATACTCAGAGCCAAGAATTCCTGGGGCAACAGCACAGGGTGGGGGCCTTTGTGCTACCAGCCTCCATCGTGTTGGAAAAAGAAAACTCCCAAACCTGGACTCTGTCCACACCAGTATGCCTGTCTCTGGCACAGAGCCACATCTACAAAACGCTCTGAGCACCGCAGCAGAGGAGCTGGGAAGCACAAGAGCACAGGGCTGCTCCCCGGCACCAGCCCACTGCCCCTCAGGGAGCTCAGGGCTTGCCCGTCCACGCCCGTCCACGGCTCACACTGACACTCAGCTCACATGGGACCATCAGTGTCACATGCTGCTGACACAGTACCCACTGAAAAGCACCCACCTCCTTGACCAGATTCTTGATGAGCCGGTTTGCTGCCTGGAGATCCTCAGGGTGGTTGCTCTTGAGAAGTCTCGTCAGAAGCTGAAGAATGTGGTCAAGAGGAGGGGGTGACACTGTTAATTCCCTCTGGCCCAGAGCCAAAGTGGCAGCAACAGAAGCCTTCATACCAACAGCAGCCCCCACATCACGTGCATTATTTTACCACGTGTCAGTGATGCTGTGACGGAGACTGTGGCCGTCCTAATAACAGACTGCTAGTTTTCATGGGTCGGGGACGGGAGGGTTATGTCCCCTAGCAGATATCTCGCCAAGTCTGGAGCTAGTTTTGGTTGTCACAACAAAGAGAAGGTACTTCTGGCAAGCAGCAGAGGCCAGGGGGGCTGTGCTATCCACCAGTGCCCAGGGCAGCACCCCCAGAGCACTACTGGGCTCAGAGGTCAAGCGCGCTGAGGGCGCCGGGACCAGGTGCTCCGCGACGGGGCTGCCCCTCCACCACAGATGGCTGGAAGAGGGGACTTGCTCTGCTGGGACACTGGGCCCTGCCTCTCTTTGACATCACGTTGTCCCCTGGATCTTGGCCTGGGATTTGATCACCTTCCTCCCCCTTCCCTTTCTGATGCTGGAGGACCAACAATTTGGGGAGGCCACGATGGAAGGACAACAGTGAGCGTTGTGGGGGGAGTGTCAGGCCTACTGGCACTGAAAATGATGTCCACTGACATTGACCCTTTCCCCTCCCTGACCCTAACCCTAACCCTATACCACACATCTGGACCCCACACCCCACAGTCCCCTGGGTTACCCTTGGCACCTTTCTTCCCCCCAAGGTCAGGGGTATGGCATCAAAGTGTGGCATTTATTATCTGGCCCATCCACAAACACACGTGGACCTTCTGCTACCTCATGCCTAAGAGCCTGGAAAGAGATGGAACTCACCACCCTATCTGCCCACACTCTGTTCAAAGATCAGAGGACATTTCAAGAAAAGGGCCCAAGACAAGCAGCCCAGTCGGACTCCGCGAGAGCCGCTGAGGCCGGCAAGGCGTTCTTTACCTTGGACTTCTCTTCGTCAGCATCGAAGATGGAGCTCTTGGGCCAGGGAGAAGGTGGGGGCAAGATTTTGTCCACTGGTAGCTTAGGGTCTTGTTTTATGATTCCTGAAATATGCATTTCACAAGGTTAAGATATAGATATGGGTATGCGGGGACTTTAATGGGGTCCGGAAGCCCTTAGTTCCTGATTCTAGGAAAATGTCAACATCCTTGAAAAGCCACACCCGGGGATGACAGAAGTTGTGCATCATCTCACTGAGCATCCAAGGAGCCACCATGACCAGCAGTGTCAGAGCACAGCCAGCTGCAGCCCGCCTCCGTGGGCTTTAGGCTACAAAAATAACGACCACTGACCACGACCGTAGAACCTCCCAGGGCCCAGAAATGACAGCAGCATCCCCCGTGAAGCTCCTAAAAGTGCTACGTGAGTGCACGTTAGGGAAAAATTACCCGTCCTGAACCCAGTTCCTTCTTCTAAGAAGCCCCACGTAAAAGGAAGTCAGATTCCCAGCTTCCTGTCGGGACACACGAAAGTGGGAACATGTAACTAATCGTCACCACAACAGCAATAACAAAACCCTAGACACCTACGATCTAACGCCTTTTCTCCAACCCATGAGACAGCTGAGATCACAGGACTACAACCAAATTAACCTGGAACCTAAGGCGAGGCAGAGCCCCCGGGAGCCGAGGAGGCAGCACTGGTGAGGTAAGTTGCCCCTCTGCTCACAGGCCAGCGACCAGGCCAGTGCAGGACTCCTGGGGTTACAAAACAAAGACACAAGCTCTTCTCCAGGGGCTCGAAAAGGAAGCTGGGAAGGCCAGACATTCCACTGAATCCTTTTCTATGGAAGCAAAGCTTTTAAACTGCTGGGAGAAGGGCGACCACCTGCAGCCCTGGGAGCACTGGAGGGACCTGCTGCAGCTAGAAAACGAACAAGGAAAAACAACCCTGTTCCCTGGGGCAGAAGCAGGATTCATGCCAGGATCACGGGCAGATCATACCAACACCCAGGAACACAGTGCCTGCCCAACAGAGCTTAACTGGAATAGATCCTGCCCCTGCCCCCCACCCTCACCCTACCATAAGGCACACACATGCAAGCACACAAAGGAAGCCGGGTGCAGTGGCACACACTTGTAATCCCAGCCACTTGTGAGACCGAGGCAAGAGGATTGCAAATTTGAGGCCAGCCTCAGCAATTTAGCAAGACCTTGTCTTAAAACATAAAAGTGGCTAGAGATATAGCTCAATGATAAAGCACCTCTGGGTTTAATCCTCAGTACCTTCCTGCAACCCCTCCTGCCCCCCGAAAAAAAAGAACATGGAGGAAGGTTCTCTTTAAGATACAGAGCAAAAGCTGGGTGCAGTGGTACATGCCTGTAATCCCAGTGAGGAGGCTGAGGCAGGAGGATTGTGAATTCAAAAACAGCCTCAGCAACTTAGCAAGAGCCTGTCTCAAAATAAAATTTATAAAAAGGGCTGGGGATGTGGCTCAGTAGTTAAGCGCCGTAGGTTCAATCCCTGGTACCCCCCCCAAAAAAAAAGAAAAAAAAGAAAGAAAACAAAACAACAGAGCAAAGGGAAGGCAGAACAGAGACTGAGAAAACTCCAGCAAGTCAGCCCCCAACCTAAACACAGGCTATTAGGGCATAACAAATCTCAAGCCTGGCATAACTGCAGCCCCTCAGAAGGAAAGGTCCACCCATTTCCAGGGATAAAGACATTGACCTCAGTTTCCATCATCTATCAGCGTGTTCACCTTTGACAAATTACAAGGGACATAAAAAAGCAGAAAGAGCACACCACCGCGAGGGGACACTGCGTTAGCCACAGGGCCACACCTTGCTTCTTCAGCATCTGATAAGCATCTCGGATCTTGATGTCTTCTGGAAACCACACTGTCCAACTAAAGAGGATCTCGATGACTCTCCCTTTAACTTTTTCTGTGGCCCAGGCCCCTAAGTACTGAGAGTAAAAAGAGAAAGAATTAGAGACTTGAAAGGGACTTGTCCCTTCGGAGACCATCTGGCTGACACCCCCAAAGAGGCACAACGAGAGCCCAATTACCTGGCCAAAGCCCCTTCCGTCTCCAGAATGCTAAAATTAAAGCCCACTGTACATGGGCCAAAGTCAGAGCCTTGTCCACAACACTGGGGACATTCATGTTTTTACTAAGGCAAGGGTAGACTTTAAAAACAAAATTGGGGCTTTAAAAACAAAAATGGGAAAGCGCTTGCCTCGCACTGGGTTCCATCCTCACCATCACATAACAAATTTATTAAAAATAAAGTTTTTTTTAAAGAGTGATCTTTTCCCACTTCTTGGCATAGAAAGCTGGGCATGGTGGCACACATCTGTAACTTGGTAGGCTAAGTCAAGAGGATGGCCAATCTGGGCAACTTTGTGAGACCTTGTTTCAAAATAAAAATGTCAAAGGTGGGGGATGTAGCTCACTAGTTCAGAGCCTGCTTCCCATGCCCAAACCCCTGGGTTCGATTCCCAGTACGACACACACACACACACACACACACACAAAAGAGAGTTTCCTGAGTGATAAGGGTGTCTTGTTAAGTCACAGGAAGCCCACTTGGACCACACCTGGTTCACAGAAAGAAAGGGGTCAACCAACGTTGGTTACTGAGAGTGGATCACTAACTCAGGTGCCAGTAGGAAAGAAGCAAAGGACCAGGCAAGAGGTGGTGTGAAACTCAGAGTCACACCTGGTCACCTCCCAGCACCAGGAACCCTGTGCCTCGGAGCTCAAGCTCCTCTTGTCCACACCCCCCCCAAATACTATGCCATTTCAAAGAGTGGGAGGTCAGCTGGAGGGGTGCTGGCCAGCGGATAAGCACCCCACCTTCCCAGGGCATGGGGAGGAGACCACGTCCACAGCAGGACCTGTTCTCGACAGCTAAGACAGGCAGGCAGGGCTTGTCCAGGCGTGGCCTGCCGTGGCCTAGGAAAGCCTTTGAGTAGGACAGAGTCACGGCAGGAGTCAGAAGGTTGGGTGCAGTGGGCAGGACCAAGCCCAGTTACTCACTTTGGGAGACAACACTTTGATCAGCTCATTCAGGAAGCGGAACTTGGCCACCTCATTGTGGAACTTCTCACCACAGTGGTTCATACATGTCTCCAGGACCTGTGCAGACAGAGGACGTCCATGAGAAGGAAAGTCAGTGGCTTCTCACCTTGAAGCTGAGAGCACCTGCTGGTGACTAGGAGACCAAAGCTGACCCCTCCTGCAGCCTACAAGGACCCTGAAGTTTTGGGAAGAGGAAACACTTTCAGATCAAGGGAAAAAAAATGTTACCTGTTCAACATGCTATGTTCATGCCCAGGCAGTACCTCAGTGGGGTGTGTGTACCCCGAGGTCACCCCTCCTGTTTGGGACCCTATGGGCAGGTAAAAATGGCCTGAGAATCACTCACTCCCTGGAGGAAGAAATGGGGTATGCATTGCCCAAGAACTGTGCCACCAGAGGTCACCTGGCGGCTCTCCAGAGGCAAGCTTGGCCCACACATATCACCTGCAGTCCACACTGGTTTTTCAATGTCAAGTCAGTTACCCACTTTTTTTTTTTAAGTTAAAGATCTTAACTGGCTTTATTTTCGATTCTAGAATTGGGCAATACTTCATTCCATAAAAAGAGTGAGTGTCCCCCAACATTTAAACATTCAGAGAACTCACATAAAAATCTGGACTTCTAGTTTCTCTTAAAGAAAACAAAAGTTCTAAGAAAACTGGGCCCCAACTCAGGCTGGAACGAGCCAGCAGGTCCTCGGCGCAGCTGCCTCTGCAGACAGGGCACACGCTTGCACCCACGGCTTCACTCATTTACATTTCCAGTCTGGCCCTTGGGCACTGGATCTTGCCAGCCTCAATCTGAGAAGAACTTCCTTTCCTCCTCCTAAGGCGGCTCAGCGCTGCTCTACACGGACAGATCTGGCTGGGCAACTTGGCTCAGAACTCCCTCCAGCCCGCGAAGGGCAACCTCTCAGATGTCCCACCTCAGTGAAAAGGCCTGGGTAGAGACAAAGTCCCCCTCAGTCGAACCCAGGAGCACTCTACTGATAGACCCAACCTGATCTTTTCTTAAAATCGGGAGCCATCTCGCCACAAAGCCATGAAAACATAATTTTAGCTTTACTATAAATTACTGCAAATTCTGAACCTGCTTGGAATGCCGGCCCGTGCCTTCAACTCACCCATGCCTGGCTCTCTGACCAGATAGCAGCCCTCTCTGAAACTTTAGTGACGCCTCATAAATATTGGCCTTCCCTGGCCAGATAACGACCCTCTCTGAGGCTCTAATGACCTTCATAAATTTTGATGTCGGGGCCAGCAAAAATGTAAACTACCATTAGTGTGATGCTCGTCAGAGTTCTGTTATCTGTAACCCCCTTTCAGTAACTTTCTGGGCTATAAAGCTGGGCTGCAGGAAAGCTGGGGTGCTGTCTTGTTCCCGGGGTTTTGGGTGGGAGAGGCAGCCCGGTCGGTCGAAATAATAAGCTTGCTTTAATTTGATTTTAATTGCAGTCAGTGGTCTTTTCTTGCATGCTGGTCTAACATCTACCTCTGAGCGACCAAACTCACCGTCAGGGCATAAAGAGCTTCCTTCTCTTGTGGAGACTGGATCTTGTGGGCCAGGAGCCAGGGCGCATGTGTGGGGCTGAAGGAAAACAAACAGATCCCAACTGTGGGTGGGGAGGAAAAAACTAACTGGTCTTGCTGAGTGTGTTTGAAGCAAGAGCTGGTGACCAAAAGCAGAGGTGGAATGTGACTGGCACCCAGTCCAGGGCACCCACCCCCACCCACCCTTGCTGCACCTGCAGCACTTGAGCTACTACTCCTCTGCCCAGGCCACATCTTCCTGCCCTTGGCCATCCCACCCCAGCCATCAGTCCCAAGAAACAACTCTTAGTGGAGCAGCAGGGGCCCAGACCCACATGCAGCCATGTCTGAGACACACAGAACCCGTCTGTCCGAGCTAACTGCCCGCTGAAGACTGGGGCAGGAAGTGGACAAGGCACTGCTCTCTCCGACTGAGTAACTGGCACCATGGAAGTTAAATATGCACATCAACCACTTGGTTCTTCAGCTGCTATCCAGGGGTTTGGAAAAAAGAATTTGATAAAACCGTACCCTGGGCTGGGGGTGTGGCCCAGTGACAGAGTGCATGCTAAGGCCCTAGGCTGAATCACCAGCACCCCCAAATTAAAAACCTAGCCAGCTGTAGTGGGGCACACCTGCAGTCCCAGCCACTTTGGAGTCAGCTGAGGTGGGAGATCACTTGACCCCAGAAATTTGAGACCAGCCTGTGGTACAAAGGGAGACCCTCTCAAAAACAAAAACCAAAACAAATAAACCAACAAAACCCAGCCAGGCCCAGTGGTACCCGCCTGGGATCCAGCTACTTGGAAGGCTAAGGCAGAATGAACCAGCTCCAGGTCAGCCTGGCAACTGTTACAGGCCTGAAAAAATAAACTTTCTTGATTTACTCATTGATTTTTTCATTTCAGTCCTGGGGATCGAACCCAGGAGCACTCTACCTCTGAGCTACATCCCCAGGCCTTTTTAATTATTTTGAGACAGGGTCTCACTAAGTTGCTGAAGGTCTTGCAGTTGCCTGGGCTGGCCTCAAACTTGCAATCCTCCCAAGTCACTGGGATTACAGGCGTGTGCCACTGTGCCAGTTCAAAATAAAATTTAAAAAGAAGAGCTGAGGATGTGGCTCAGGTCTAGTGTCCCTGGATTTAGTCACCAGCACTACAAACAACAAACCCTCATGAATTTACTAATTTTAGAAAAAGAGATGGTGGTGGGGGGAGAAAGATAGAAATCCTTCCTAACTGTGTAACAGCCATCAGTCCCAAGAGACAAGGGCCTGTGCTCAGTCTGGGGTCCCCACAGAGTCAAGTGTTATGTGAAGTCACCTTACCCATTGGGGTCAGTGTTCACCTGCTCACAGAAGTTCTGGATAGCCGACCAATCCTGTTCTGACACGCTTGGGTCTGTGGCTTTGTCTGCCAAGAAAATAAATGCTAAAGTTAAAGACCGCATCATAAAAAGGTTACACACCCTTCCCCAGATACGAGGGAGTCAAGAGCTGTGACATTACACCATCAGATCAGACTGTGCACTGCAGAGAGCGCTGGGGATCATGCCTGTGTTTTTAACGCTGTCGAGGGCCATGTCTGGCACATATCATGCCCATCCTGAATGTTTGCTGGGTAAATAAGTGAGCAAATTAATTAACCAGGACACTGAAAGCAACTCCATTTCTGGTGCGCAGAGGCTGGCCTGTGAGTGCCCTCTGTCAGGACTACCCCATGCTGGCTCTGCAATGTGGTGGCACTGGGGTCCCTGCATGTGGGAGGCCACCTGTAAGTTTCCTAGCTATGTGACAGGAAGACAAGAACCTGCCACAGGAAGATGGTCTTGGTTCTGACCCCCCACAGGCCATGCTGGGGGCTGGGGCTGGGGCTGAGTGGTAGAACGCTCACCTAGCATGTGCTGGGCGCCGGGTTTGATCCTCAGCACCACATAAAAAATAAATAAAATGAAGGTATTGTGTTCAACTACAACTAAAAAATAAATATAGCTACAGCTCTTTCAGGCTCTGGAATCAGAGGTCAGTCTCAGGGTATTTTGGTGCTATCATTCCTCTAGTCCAAGTGTCCACTCCACTCCTCTCAAACTCCTATCCATTCTTCAAGACGCATGTGAATTTCCATCTCCTCTAGAAACCTCCTCTCTTGATCCAACCCACTAATTTTCTCCCCTTCTGATTACTTAGGGCTCCATCCTCCACCCAGAATCAACTGTTCCCGGTACAGTCACACTATGTCATGTGGAAGTCATGTGTCTTAGCCATGAGATTCAAAGGGCACACCCACTGTAAATGCCAGGAGAACATGAAAAAGGAGTGCAAGGCCATCACAGGATCACTTCTGTACTCCCAGGCCCCACTCAAAGTTCTCTCCAGGTGCTCCAACACTAAGTACCCTAGCACCCTATGCACCATTCAGTCCCAACTCAAGTTAAATGCTTCCCCTTTCATAAAAGCTTGCTTGATTTTTCTTTTTGTTTTTTGAAGACAGGGTCTTAAAGCCTCATTAAGTTGCTAAGGATGGCCTTGAACTTGTGAACATTCAGTCTTATCACCCCAGTTGCTGGGATTACAGGCCTGCACCAGAGTACTGGGCTTCTTGGATCTTTTTAATGCCCACCCCTACAAAACAGAAGCCCTCTCTTCTTCCTCAGAATTCTGGTCTTTTGAGGTGGGGATCGCTAATTCTAGGGGGTCTCAGTAGGAAGACAGTATCTTCCTCGTGGGATTGTCATATGATTTAAAGTGGACAGCATCTAAAGTGTTCAGCACAGTTGGGCACAGTGGCAAATGCTGGTAATCTCAGCAATTTGGGAGGTTGAGGCTGGAGGATTGCAAATTCAGCAATTTAGGAAGATCCTAAGCAATTTAGCAAGGCCTTGTCTCAAAATAAAAAATAAAAAGGACTGGGGATGCAGCTCAGTGGTAGAGCACCCCCGGGGTTCAATTCCTAGTACAAAAATAAAGTACTCAGAACAGTAGCACAAAGTAATCAATAAAGGTCAGCTCCTGTTACTCATTATGTTAACAGTCTCTACCTTTTCCTGCAAAAATACATATAAATGCCCTTCTCTACCTAAGGGGAATAAACCTCTGAAGGCAGAAGCCCTGCATGCCCTGCAGTGCTCAGCACAATGCTGTATACAGGGACCAAATGCAGCTGCTCCCTGACTTTCCGTGAGGTGACTTAAGGTGACTTATCCAAATAAACCCCAAGTTGCAAGTTGAACTTCCTGTTGATACTCAAATAAATTAAATAAAGCAATGATTTTCAGACTCTAGTCTCAATCACCTCAAAATAATCCTACATCAGTTAAGCTTCGATTTCAGTCCATTATAAGGTCAAGGTGGACACCTCAAAGGTATTCTGAGCCCTACGGGTGACTGTACACAGAGGCACAATCCAGCCTCACCCCTCCTCCCTGGCTGCCAGAGGAAAGAGACAGCAGCATGGCCGGCACTAGCCTTTTCAAAGAAAGGGAGAAACCACCATGGAGTTTATTCACCTCCAAACCCTTGACCAAGTTACAGCAGCCAAGAGGTCTATAAAATGTAAGTTAGATTCTATTTTATTTGCTAGATCTTATGAGGATTTCCTCAAGAGTTTATCATCATGACCCAAAAGTAAGAGAAATAGTAATAGCTGCCATTTTTTTTCTATTATTCTTTTCATTTCTTTCTCTACTTTTCTTTCTTTCTCTAGCTGCGATTTGGGCCAGGCAACAGGCCAAGTATCCTCAGAACAACTGAGGTTCGCACCATTATCTCACATTTACAGATGTGGCCCAGCCACAGAGCAAGAGGAAGTCCAGTCCCACATCTGCCTGGCTCCAAGTCCCTAAGGTACCCCGCTCTCAGTATTCTTCAGTTCCTTGACAAATGCAGGGTGGAGCCTCTGGGGAAGGAAGTGAACAGTCTCAAGGCAGGAAGGAGGTCTGTCTCACTCACCTGCCACACTCCGGCACCCAGACCATCACTAGCCCAGATACCTACTGAATGAACGAGGGCTCTGTCTTTTGCTGTGCAGTATTTGACTGGCTGGCTGGACATACTGCCACTGTCAGGAGATGACGATTACAATTCCAAAATAACTGGGTCTCTGAACACATAATCCCCACCTGCCAAAGCTATTTCAGAGGCCTCGAGCAGCTCCAGAGAAAATGACCCTCAGAAGACCAGCAGCTGGGTCTGGACAGGCCACAGCAACTGCCCAGGTCTGTCTGACACCAATCCGATCCAAGGAACAGCTAGGTGCCAGAAAGGCATGATCAGGGAGAACTTAAAGGATTCCTCCTCTGTTCTGATTATCAAGGCATTGAGATGGCTACTCCAGACTCCACCAGGTGGCTTACCCAGCTGACACGTGGGTGAGACAAATGAGTGCCAAGAAATACTCCGTTCCCATTTATTTGCTTAATAAAATAAGTATTTGGCCAGGCTCAGTGGCACACAGTTGTAACCCCAACAACTTGGGAGGCTGAGGGAGGAGGAGCTCAAGTTCAAGGCCAGCCTCAGCAACTTACTATTTATTTTTTTTTAAGATTTTTAGAACCTGCCTCAAAGTCAAACAAACAACAGGGCTAAGAATGTCACTCAGTGGTAAACTACCCCTGAATTTGATCTCCAGCCCCCCAAAATAAAATAAAATAAAAGCAGTGTTTATATGATTGATTTCAAGCCTGCTCCAGGATCAGAGGTCTTAGAAAACAGCGGAGCCTCCAGCTGTGAGTGAAATGTCTTATTGGAGAAAGACTAATTCAAAAGTCCAATCATCTTACACCAGCTGCCAACCAGCCCCAGGGTCACAACTCCAGCACCAGCAGCAGCATGTACTAGCAAGGGGAGGCTTGGGGGAGAGGGAGGGAGGCAGTCACCTTTAGCAACAGAATTCAATCCTTCAGCAGTGTGCACTGCACAGGGAGTCCCTCCCCAGGGGCACACATGGACTGGACATCCTGGAAGTCACTTTATTCAGCACACATGAAAACCTGCCAAGACCCACCATGAAAATGTTCTAAGCTGGACTCCCAACAGAGAAGGGTGAGCTCAGCCCTGGAAAACCTCAGACTATAAATAGATTGCAATCCAGACCTCTCCAGAGCCCCAAGGGAGGAATAAAAGTGGGGCTGGAAGAAAGGATACATCACCTGGGAGTAGATCCAGGCAGAAGGAAGAACAGGATTTACCAAGCACTCAATTTTAACTAGGCTACTGCCTTCCTGGTACTTCGGCCAGAGCTCGAATCCAGACTCAGAGACCAAGAGGACCAAGTGTTCTTAAAAATAGCACAGGACTGGCAACCCCAGGGATTCCACCAACAGAACTGGTTAAATGGACTACAGTACAAAGACACAATGGGCATGTAAAACTTCCTTAAAAGGAGTAAGGTGGGCTGGGGCTCAGGGGCAGAGCGCTTGCCTAGCATATGTGAGGCACTGGGTTCTATCTTTTACACTGCATTAAAAAATAAACAAAATAAATGCATGCTGTCCAACTACAAAAATAAAAATTTTAAAAAAGAGTAAGGCAGCTAGCTGTACATGAAGTCACGTGAACCATGATCAAAATACACTATGTGTGTGTGGGGGAGCTGCAGAACCGAAAGCACAGGAGCTGCCATTTGTATTTTAAAGCATGAGTCTCTGACAGCTTCCTGATCCTCTGGGAACTATCCCTTCTCAATTCTAGGGCCAAGCCCAGCTGAGTCTGATGATGGCCTTCCCCATCTTCATTTCTAGGGATGGCCACCACCCAGGCCAGTCCAGCAATCTTCATATTTCCCCCTCACCCCCATCCAGATTCCAAAATGAACATAAGACCCAAGCTGGATCAACAAACAGAATGATAACTTTCTCAAATCAATAGGAAAAATTAATTATTTCTGTTGGGAGTGCAGCAGAAGAAAAAAGCAAAGTAGAGAAAATTCACATGAAGAAATGGGGCTGCTGGCGGAGCACGGTGGTGCACGCCTGTAATCCCCGCAGTTTGGGAGGCTGAGGCAGGAGGATCGGGAGTTCAAAGCCAGTCTCAGCAAAAGGGAGATACTAAGCAACTCAGTGAGACCCTGTCTCTAAATAAAATACAAAATAGGGCTGGGGGTGGGGCTCAGTGGCCGAGTGCCCCTGAGTTCAATCCCTGGTACAAAAAAAAAAACCAACCGGAGCTGCCGACTGAGCCCTTGTCTAAGGTAAGCTGCTTTACTGGCACCACCACTGCACTCTATAGCAAGGCAGTATTTAAGTGCTTTACCTATATTAAGGCCTTTCTTTGATCCCCCCAACAATCCTAAAGGGAGGTATTAATGCTGCCCCCATCTTAAAGATACGGTTGCCGTGCTTGCTCAGGCAAGAGCTGTCAATGACCCACCTAGAGCGGCGTCCTTCTCCATCCAGCTCAGACCCCCCTCGCCTCCCTTTAGCTCCCCTCCTGCCCTGGCGGACCATGAGCCTCTACTGTTCCCCCATCCCACCACCAGTATCTCTCCCTCAACAGTTAGGGTTGAAACTGTAGTTTACTTTCTCTGCTCCCACACCCAGAAGAAAAGGAAAATACGACCCCAACATCCAGCCACCAAGACGACAGCACAGGTTTCTGATGTCTGATCTCAAGAGGGAGAAGGGTAGGTCTCCCGCTCTACCCCACCCTTCCTCAACCCCCTGCTCCAGGGAAATCTGGCAATGTCCAGAGATATGTTGGCTCATCAGAACTGGAAAGGGCAAGTGTGTTACTGCTATCTAGCGGGCTAAAGCCAGGGCTGCAGCTAAATATCCTTATCCCAGGACAGTCCACTACCACACAGAATCACCAGGCCCCACATGTCAAGGGCACAGAGAGAACAGCTCTGACCTCAGGTGGCCAGGTGGGCTCCCTTTCACTTCTTCTTCTTTGTTTGGTACCGGGGATTGAACCCACAGGTGCTTAACCACTGAACCACATCTCCAGCCCTTTTTATATTTTATTTTGAGACAGGGTCTTGCTGAGTTGCTTAGGGCCTTGCTACGGTGCTGAGGTTGGCTTTGAACTCGTGATCCTCCTGCCTCAGCCTCCTGAGCCGCTGCCCCTTTGCTTCTCTTACTAGTCATTCCCGACCTTCCCTACTTTCCTCACATCCCCTCCTGGCTCAGCCCCTGACACTTCACATGGTGTAGCAATGACAAACTAGTTCACGTGTGCAATCATCTCTATCTCCTTCCCCAGACACTCAGAAACAAAAGCTGCCCTTCCTCCCTGTGGAGCCAAGTCACCCTTTCCTGCTCTGACTCTAACCTCCTTCCTGTCACCCCTTCCTTGCAATCCTCCTGCCACAGCCTCCTGAGCCACTGGGATTACAGGAGAGTTGCTGGGACAGGTGGCAAGTGCCACCACGCCTGGCTCCTTTACTCCTGCTAGCTACCCCTCTCTGTCCTTCCTTTCACATATAAACACCATAAAAAAAGGCCATCTGAGCTGGGCGCAGCAGCTCACACCTCTAATCCCAGCAGACTGGGAGGCTGAGGCAGGAGGATCCCAAGTTCAAAGCCAGCCTCAGCAATTTAGCAAGGCCCAAAAGAATTTAGCAAGACCCTGTCTCTTAAAAAAAAAAGAAAAGAAAAAAAAAAAAAGAAAGAAAGAAAGAAAAAAGAAAGTGCTGGGGATGTGGCTCACTGGTTAAGTGCCCCTGGGTTCAATCCCCAGTACGACCAGTATGACCCCCTCAAAAAAAGCCATCTCCCATACTCTCCCCACAGATTATTCTGCCTGATCTTCACCGGGCAAACAGTCTTTTTTTGGTTGTTGTCGGTATGAAAATTAAACCTATGGGCACTTTCCCACTGAGCTACACCACTTTACTACAGAGCTTTATTTTGAGCCAAAGTCTCCCTAAGTTGCTGAGGCTGGCCTCAAACTTGTGATCCTCCTGCCTCAGTCTCCAGGCCTGCACCACTGCACTCGGTTGGGCAATTGCTGATGACTTTTAAAAACCAAAAAGATTTCACATAAAAATGGTTGCATAAGGCTTCCCTGAAAAACTGTAAGATTCAGCAACTTTGGGACATCACCCCAATAAACTGGAACTGAAGAACCCTTCTGGGGGAGCGCCTAGGTTCCAGCCACTCTATCTCCTCTAGCTCAGCTGCCATTTGTCATCCCACCCAGTCTACTTTTCTTCCTGCAGCTCCAGCCTAAGCTTTCTGTTCTCCACTGCCCCATGAACACAGCCTCCCAAATCACCTGTCTCAACCATTTAACATCTGACCTTTTAAGCCAGGCACAATGGCACATGCCTGTAATCCCAGCAACTTGGGAGGATAAGGCAGGAGAATCACAAGTGGGAGGCCAGCCTAGACACCTTAGTGAGACCCTCAGCAACTCAGCCAGACACCGTCGAAATAAAAAAGGGCTAGGGATGAAGCTCAGGGGTAGCACACCCCGGGGTTTGATCTCCAGTACCACAAAACCCCAAAACTACAAAAATATCCCAAAACCTTTGAGTTACCAAAATCAAAATTCCCCCTTCTTCCAAATTCTGATCCAATTTTAAGCAACAAACCTACCTACCAACCACACCCTTCCTTTGTCACCTGTGCCCTGCCCCCAACCTCCCACCCCCCCTGGTTTTTCTGCTCCACCCTCAGTCTGCAGACTGCTCTCCCTACCTGCCTCTTCAATGTTGGGATCCCCCCCCACCCCGCCCATGCTCTGTCTCCAAACCTCTGCTGTTCCTCCCCTGCACAGCCTATCTGGCAAGCTCACTGTCAAGGAGCCAAGACTCCCAAATCACACCTCCTGCTCCTATCCTCCCTGGAGCCAACCGCTTGGAAAGCTCCTCTTCCTGGTACTGCAAGCACTTCAAACTCTAAGGTCTTCCTAAGCAGCTCCTCCTAACAGGTGAGAAATAGGTGACAACTGGGACCTGGTCTGAAACCTGGGATCCATTCTACAGTCCTCCTATCTCTTGCCCAGCACTGCAAAGCAGACACTGCTGTTTCTCCTCTCCCTCCCCACTGCCTTTGTCTTAGCACCCAGAGCACCATCAAAAGAGCTTTTATCTATAGCCCCTGCCAGAAGTCTCTCCCTCTCTAAACAATTCAACTCCACATGCTGCAGGCTTTCAGGCTTACTTGACCACGGATTCTCCTGCGGAAAAAAATTCCTCAGCTACCCACCCCATGGATAAAATATCAGTTCCCTTCTGCAGCATACAAAATCTTTGTGGATCTTACACCAATGAGCAAATGAGAGTGCACCTCCTTCCAGATTCTCCGCTCCTTAGGCTTAGCACTTCAGCAGACTGACCTACTAGTTTCCAGAATGCTCCACATTCTCTGGTCCTCAGCTTTTGCACATGCAGTTTCCTCTGCCTGGAATGTGGTCGCCTCCATTGTCCACTCAAACACCTCCTCCGCTGTGACAACCCCCAGGTAAACAAACCGAATCCTCCCACTGCATGCTGACAAACGCCCTTCCCCGCAGCTCCAGTGAACCAGGTGCTGTTAGGGTCCGGCCAGCACCCAACAAAAAAATGCCTTTGTGAGCTAGGACCCTGGGTTACGCTTCTCAGGACCACGGCACCTAGCAGAGTCCTACACCATCGGCTTTAGGAGTCTCAATTCCTCATCAGTAAAAGGAGGATAATAAGAACCCCCCCAGCCCCCAAGACCACCGTGAAACTTTCACAAGACACGACGTCTGGGCTGGGTTGCTGCCCAGAGGTAGCGCGCTTGCCTACCGTGCGCCGTGCCCTGGGTTCAAACCCCAGCACCGAACAATTAAACAGCTGGCCAGAGTAAACATGCACAAAAGGCTTTAATAAAGGCTTATTTTGACATTAAAAGCAACAGGCGGAAGGACTGCGAGAGGCTGCGTATTCTCCACTTGATCTGCTTACAGCCTAAGCGTCCCCAGCTCTCAGACGAGGTCGTAACTGAAGCCGCCTCTTTGGGGTCCCAAGGAGCGCGGACGCCGGCTGCACGGGGTTGGGTGCAGGAGGACAGCTCGCGCGCTAGCCCTGCAGCCGCCTAGGGACGAGAAGCGCGGCCTCGGGGGACAGGGCGTGCGCGGGGGGCGCCCAGGGCGTCCCCGCGCGGATCCGCGGCTTCGCCGTCCCCTGGGGCTCCTCCCCCCCGGGGAGCGAGGCGACCCCACCGCTCGCCTCCCCGGCGGCCGCCGGCCACAGAAAGAAAGGCCCCGGGAGGCGGGAAGCGAGGCCTCACGTGGGGCGCTGCGCCCGCGCCGAGGGACGGCCAGGCTACTCACTGAGCCAGAGCTCCAGCGCCGCCGCCGGGCCTGGGGGGCCCTCAGCAGACTCGGTCCCGGCCGCCGCCCCTGCCCCCGCAGCCACCGCCGTCGCCGCCATGGGCCAGACCCCACTACAGTGGCCGCAGCCTCCCCTGCCCCTTAGCTGCTGCCGCCTGGCGCGACCCTGGGCTGCCGACGCGGCAGGCGCAGAAGGCCACGTGACGGGGCGTGGTCAGGCCTGGACCCGCCCAACCCAGGCCCCGCCCCCACGCGGGCTCGGGCTCCCCTCACCGCCTCTCCGGGTCTCCCGAGACCGCCGGCAAGGTCAAAGTCAAATTAGCCTTGCGTGGCCTGCAGAAGTAGGGGTGCCAGATAAAAGGCAGGACAAATAATCATCCTTTTAGCATTTTTAATCCAGGAGGGTCTTCCCAAACTACCTTCTCCTCCCTCGCACCGTCCCCCACAAACCCTTGTTTTCTCCATTACACTATCGACTTATCAGACATCTATTTTGCGAAAGGACTCTAAATAAGGGAACCAAGCAGATGTTATCATCTGTCCACAAGATAAGTCAAAGGGCTAATTTTTACAGAATAATGGGTTGTTGAAACAAATGTGCAAATTTCACAAAACCGGCTTTCCCCCAGTGCTGAGAGCTGTCCTTCCAGCAGACAGAATTAATCCGCATGTCTACAAGCCAGAATTATTTTGTATTGCTACCAGCCATCTACTACTTACAGGACTGCCAGACTTCTCTGATGAAAAGCTAGACCCTGGCAAGGTGACCAGTCCACACGATGCCCAATTTTCCACTGAAGGGGGCTGGGGATATAGCTCAGTTGGTAGAGTTCTTGCCTTGCGTGCTTAAGGCCTGGGTTCCAATCCCTGGCCACACACACACACACACACACACACACACACACACCAATCTTCCACTAAAGTACAAAATCTTCCCTGCAGTCCCTTACCTATTTCACCCCACTAAGCAGGGACCTTAGTCCAAAGAGCTCTGTACTTCAGGACCTTCCATAATGCCTGACATACCAGGCATTACTGTATAAATACTTGTTGAATGTGCAAATGAAGAGTGAAAGCAATGAATACACAAACTAAGTTTAGAAGGACATTTCCTGTGCTACTGAAGCCAGGTAAATCGGGTCTAATATCAAATGAGATTTAAAATGGAGGCCATGTTGAGGATGAATTCTGGGAAAAATTGAACAACTCTTGGAATGTTAATGAAGTCCTGGAAAAGCCCAAGGCCAGAGCCCATCCCAAAGAAGTGTTAATGAACAGCCCCCAGCAAACTTGAAGATGCTGTTTTAGAAGTCCTTCCTGCCCAGATTACTTCTTTGGCTCACCCTGTGTCCAACCCCTCAGGCCTTCCCACCTACATGCCATAACTGAAAGAACTATAAAAAGGTGAAACAACCGCACTGCCATGGATTCTATCTCTTGGGTTCCCTTCTTCCTCTGGGAGAAGTCTTTTCTGCTGTCCTTTAATAAACTTCTAATTTCCACCGGTCAACAGCGGTAACACTACCTTAATTCCAAAACAAATCCCCTACCCACACATATTCCCATCTGTTCATAACGCCCTTCAACACTGAAAATTATGAAACTACACTGAATGACCCATGATTGGACTGTTTACTGTGTGTCAGATCCTATGCTAAGTACTTTGCAGTTATTGGTCTTAGTCGATTCAAGCTACTATAACAAAATGTCAGACCAGTGTCTTTTTTTTTTTTTTTTTTTTTGGTACCAGGGATTGAACCCAAAGGCACTGAGAACCGTGCCACTGAGCCTCATTCCCAGTCTTTTTTTATTTTTGATTTTGAGACAGGGTCTCACTAGGTTGCTTACAGCCTAAGTTGCTGAAGCTGGCCTCGGAACCTACAATACTCCTGATTCAGCCTTCCAAGCCACTTGGATTGCAAGCATGTGCCACCACACCCAGCTACACCAGTGTCTTAAATAACACACATCGATTTCTGTCAGTTCTGGAGGCTGGGAGGTCCAAGATCAAGATGGCAGCAGACTGGGCTCCTGGTGAGGGCTCACTTCTTGGTTGCATTTTGTTGACTTTCTCGGCGACTTGCTCATACGAATTTTAAGGGGACACAATTCAGTCTATAATATCACCGATAAAGGGAAAATTTTACTTTAATTTTGTAAATTTAACTGTACTTTAATAATGAAAATTATGTATGTATTGTTTAAAGCATACCCTCTTATGTCACCTGATTTTGGTTTGGGGAAATAATTTTACATCTCTGTAAACTGTAGGTAACTGACACCAGTGGAAAATTATTTCTCTCCATGGACATGCAAATGAATACTATCCGGGGAACACACAACCCTCTTCCTGTGGAAAAACCAGTTTGGCCTCCATTTGCACAAGCATTTCCATATCCCTGATTTATAACCTGTTCTCTGGATTCTCCTTTGAACTAATTTAACAGCTCACCAATTTCTTCATTAATGAGCTAAATAATGCTTTTAACGCACATTAGTCTCTTGAAAATTCTAAACATCTGGCAACATTGGATCTGGTTTTCCTCCTTACACCAAATACCTAGAAATGTCAAGAGGCTGCAGTTAGAGAGAACGGTTCTCTAATTGCCAAAGACTACCCTTCACTTCCTGAGTATTTCTTATACTTATTACTTACTCTAAGTACCTTCAGTTATTTAACATTTTGACATCTACATCAGTGTTTTTCAGACTAACATGTATCAGAATTATCTGGAGGGCTTGTTACAGATTGCAGGGTCCCGTCCCACATTCTCTAATGGAGTAGGTTTGGGTTGAGGCCCCAAAATTTATCTTCCTATAATAGATTAAAATAAGGAAATGGAGAAGGAAGGATAGGATAACATATAGGGAAAACGGTTACTGCAGAAGGAGATGAGAGGTAGAGTGGAGGGATGGTAAAAGAGGCAATGTAGAACCAATATATATATATTTTTTTGGTACTGGGGATTAAACTCAGGGGTACTCGACTACTGAGCCACATCTCCAGCCCTATTTTGTATTTTATTTAGAGACAGAGCCTGAGTTGCTTAGTGCCTCGCCGTTGCTGAGGCTGGCTTTGAACTCACCATTCTCCTGTCTCAGCCTCCTGAGCCGCTGGAATTAAAAGCATGCACCGCTGCGCCCAGCTTAGAATAAACTTTTAAAAAGTCATGTGCATATTTACATATACCACAGGGATCTCCACCTTTATGCATAGGTATAGTTCAGTTGGTAAAGTGCTTGCCTCAAATGCACAAAGCCCTGGGTTCAATCCCTAGCACAACCAAATATAAAAATAAAGAAAGAGCCAATCAAATATAAATACACAAGGGAAAGGAAGTCTAGCAGAGGAAGGAGAATGGGGGAGGGGAGAGGAGGGAGGGTGAGAAGGAAATGGGGAGGGGGTCATGAACTGAAATCCAAGGTTGTTGGAATAACCTCAACTATTGTATAACTATAAAGCTCTAATTTTAAAAATTTTTTTTAATAAATCTTAAAAAAACGAAACAAGAATTTATCTTCCTAATGAGTTTCCAGATGATGCCAACCCTGCTGGCCTGGAGACTACAGTTGAAAGGTTGAAGAATAAATGGACCCTTCGGGGCACAGTGGCGCATGCCTGTCATCCCAGTGACTTGGGAGGCTGAGACAGGAGGATTTGAGACCAACCTTAGCAACTTAGTAAGGCCCTAAGGATTTAGTGAAGCCATATTAAAAAAAAAAAAAAATACTATAAAAGGGCTGGGACTATAGCTTGGAGTTAGAGCTCCCTGGGTTTCAATCTACCGTACTACAAAAAAAAAAAAGAAAAAAGAAAAGTATAAACCCACTATTTTGTATAATTACTATACACTAATAACTATAAAATAATATTTATTAAAAAAATAATTCATAGCTGGGCATGGTGGCACCACCTGTAATCCCTGCTACTCAAGAAGGCTGAGGCAGGAAGACCACAAGTTTGAGGCCAGCCTGGGCAACTTAGTGAAATCCTGTCTCACCAGGGAGGAAGTGGGGAAGGCAAAGCAAAAATACCAGGGAATGATACTGGCCAAATTATACTGTGTGCATGTACGAATATGCAACAACAAATCCCACCACTACACATAACTACAATGCACCAATAAAAAAATGTAGGGAAAAAATAAAGAAATCTTGCCTCAAAAACTTTTTAGAAAGGGACTGGGATGTGGCTCAGTGGTAGAATGCTCCTGGGTTCAGTCCTCAGTATCATAACAAAAATACATTAATACGTACATACGTACATAATAGTTAAGAATTCAGATTTTAAACCAGGAGCCGCCTCTTCTCCAAGCCTACATTTTTGTGATTAAGTAGTTGTACCCCTTTTAGAGATGGCTTGGTCTCTCCGACTCACTACTCGTGTCCCTTTCATTTATGTTACCTGAGTTCCTGTAGGCACCTGAGTTTGTGACACTCTTGCCTGGTTTCATACCTCACTCATACATTCTCTTAACATTCCAGATCATACTGCTGGATTAAGTAATGGGCATAATACAGGAAGAGGGAGACGAAACCTGTGGCTCCTGCCCTCAGTGGCTCCCAGTCCAGTGGGGAGGGAGGACTGTAACAGGGCCACAAGACCCCAACAGGGTGGGGTTCTGCTCAGGAGGAGTGAGCTGCCTGGGAAATAGAGAGTCTGAAATAATTAGTAAGAAACAGACAGAGCCAGGTAGTAAAGCAGCGCCTCTGACAGGTCTTCTAGTCCTGATAGGAGCTGGAACTGAATGACTGAAAAATGGCCCTGATTCTTTATTCACACACAATTCACATATGAGTCATGATGGCTTCCGGCAAGGAGGTGTGAGCTGCCTGGGAAGGCACGGTGGCACCCTCCTGTCATCCCAGATGCTCAGGAGGCTGAGGCAGGAGGATCACGAGTTCAAATCCAGCCTCAGCAAAAAGCAAGGTGCTAAGCAACTCAGTGAGACCCTGTCTCTAAATAAAATACAAAATAGCACTGGAGATGTGGCTCAGTGGTCGAGTGCCCCTGAGTTCAATCATCAATACTAAATAAGTAAAGTAAAAATAAAAAGTCTGAAATAATCAGTAAGAAATAAAAACAGAGCCAGAAATTAGATATAAAAAGAGGAGCCCCTGATGGGTCTCCCAGTACTGATGGGAGCTGGAACTGAACTACTGAAAAAAGTGCCCCCCACTCTATT